GGAAGACAGTGTTGTTTTTTTGTATATTCAGTATTTATGTGGTCATTACTGAAAAGTGGTTTTACAGATGTTTCTAATGATTTTACCTGAGCTAGAAACATTTCATTTTCTATGTTCTGTTGCATTTTCTCCACCATGGGTGTATTATCAGAGTGAAACTGATAAATAGTGATCTAATTTCATGTTACTTGTCTTTGTGTCCTTGCGTCTAGTAGTTCTTGTACTGTTGTGGCTTGAACAGCGTGTGTGCCACTACAAAGTGCTCCTCTACAGACTGAAGCACTATTCTAACTGTACCTGTGGCATGAGTATCTTCTGAATCTACAGTTGTATTGTAATATGCCATAATACACACACACACACACACACACACACACACACACACACACACACACACACACACACTCATGTAGGCTTAGACAATTGACCTTTTTCCTTTTTCTACTTTCTGTTAACATTGTTCCAACAATGTAATGTACCACAGCTTTGCTTCATATAAAACATTATCACGCTGGATTAATCATATCAACTGTTTTATTTTCATGGTCCTTGTGTTCAAAATAGCACAGTTTCCTTTGTGCTTTTCCTCTAAACAAATGTTTGCAAATGTCTCTTTTTAAATGGGTAAATTTGTTTGTTGATGTACCTCTTCTGCCCTCTCATCACAGCTGATCAGAATATCATAGCGCTTCAGATACACTGGTCTATCTGGAACAAAACAGTTTAGTGAAGGCCACGTTTGGATAGTGACACTGCTTCTGTTCTGTCTTTTTTTTTTTTTTTTTTTTTTTACATGGATCTGAGACAGCAGGAGGACTTGTAATGGAGTTTTTTTTCTCTAAATATCTTTTGTAAATGGGGGGGGGGGGGGGAATAAATGTTAGCTATTTTTTTTTAATCCAAGGTGATTTCATTTGATATTGTAATTACTAATGTATCGGTTTGTGCACTGCAAGTGCCTGACATAATAACGTAATTTAGATGCAGTGTTTTAAGTTACTTCTGCAATGGAATAAATGATAGCTCAATAAGCAAAAGTGATCCAAATTAGTTTAGGCTATAAAGTCTCTATTTGGCATATAAAACAAAACTGGTGGATGGTTAATTTAGAGGCTCTTCGCTGCACAGTATGTCTACAGTTCAGTTGTGTTCTACAGCCAGAGACTTAATCAGGCACTTAAAGGTGACCACAAATGATTATTTTCATTATTGATTAATCTGCTGACAACTTCTGGATTAATTGTATTTTCCATAACATTTCAGAAACTTGTGAAATTCCCACGATAATTTCTTAAATTAACCTCTTAAACTTGTTTTGTTTAACCAACAGCCCAAAACCCAAAATATTGAGTTCATGATCACAATTACTCACAATTAAGAAGCTAAAACTCCAAAATGTTTGACATTTTTGCCTAAACAATTGACTTCTATACAAGTCCTTGCTTATCAAAATATATGTATATCAAAATATGCACTTTCTTCTGATTGACTAATTGTTTCAGCTCTTCAAACTGCTTTTTATTCAGCCAAAAAAAACAAAACTTACTGTGTTTACGATCATATATGTAAAAACAGCAGCAAATCCTTGTGATAAACCTTTTCTTTCAACTAACTTGAGGTCATGGGCCTTGGTGGCATTGTATGTAAACGTAAATATGGAACAACCGCAAACACAGCAATGTCATGTGAGTTACATATCTGAAATGGCCATGATGAAATTCCCAGTGCGGTTGTTTTCATTGTCAGCTTCACTCTTGCGAGCTGAGGCAAGGGAAACTGATCAGAGAGACACAAAAAACCCGGGTCCATGCCTCTTCTTACTTAGGCACTAGCACACCCAGATCTACTTGAGTGATCCCTGTGTTTTCAAAGCCCTTTAGCTGTGAAGATGCTGATATGCTTTAGATGAAGAGCCCGGCTATATGTGGGGTGGACCTTGTGTTTGGCTTTTTTGAAGCTGTATGTAAATCTTCAGGTCACAAGACTGTTGAATAAAAGCCTGGATGGTGTTCCAGAGTCTTCATCACGGTTAGGTTGACATTTCTTGATGTTTCTTAGCTTGGCTGAAACCACTCTTACTGGCTGGCATCAATGTGGAGGGAAGAGACAAAAAAAAAAGAAGCTGGTCTGTGATGTCTTCAAATGTAATGTGCAACAACTCCCATTGTTTTTCTCTGAATCCCTCCGCAGCACTCCTCTCTTGTTGGTCACTGATGGCCTGTCTCACTGTAACCCTTGTGCAAATAAGCATGATTATGAGCGTTCCCTCGACCTCCTCAATTCTCCAAGTCGTCTTGATTGAGTTTGGCAGTCGGAGGAGGGGATGGATATAATGGACAACACCAACTTTAATGAGAAATTTCAGCTATGGGCTGACATTTTGAAATAGTCCTTGTGAATGACGGTGTCAGCAGTCACCTTTACCAAAGCTTTCCAGGGAAGGTCCTTGTAATGATGGAAGGAATTAAAATGTCCTCCAAGGCGGTGGAGATAGGAGCCACAGGATTAGGTTGCAAAGCCACGCCTCTTAAATAGGCTCTTCTGCCCCTCCCCAAGTGAAAAAGCAGCCTTTTCATAAGTACAGCTCTCCTCTGCTGGCTACATATCGTCACCCTGAGATTTGATGGAGGGGATTACGGTGAATGTTAGTTGTTGACCACTGCGAGATTTGTTGAGACGAGCTGTCCCTCACATTAACTGCCCCGCCCTTCCCTTCCTAGTAATTCCTCCCCCTTTGTTGTGTCTGGTGGCAGACAGGGACCAGCTCTGCTGTCATTACAAACTTAATAAGAGCAGAAGTGAGATTGATGAGAAAAACAGAGGCATCAACTGCTCTTTTAATTAACTCTTGTCCCATAATGGTGCCGGGACAGAGGCACTGAGCAAAGAATGAGACATTTTCTTTCTCTTTCCACCCCTTTCTGTTTTGTTGCCTCGCTCACCCCCGATAATGAACAGCCTTCTGGGACCCAATTACATCCAAGGCTGCATTAGGAGCACAGCAGGCCCAGTGGAAACTTCAGCTGAGTTTCCCCTCATCTCTCCCCCCTCCTCTCCACTCCCTGTTACCCTGCTGGAGATGGCCTTCACTTGATTGAATTTTGAATGTTACACCCCCCCACCCACTGTAGTCCCTTACCTTCACCAGTTCTGAAACCACATGTGGTTTATGATGGAAGGAGGCAATGTATGTTTGCTGTCCTTCACTTGATAACTGCTTGCACTGATAGAGTGGCTTTGTATACAATGTGTAATAGGCAGTGCGAATTGGTGCACTCAAGTTTGTGTGTCTTATACTGCAACATACTGCATATTCTTGTGAGGACTTTGGAAAGGAGATAATTTAGAATCATTAAACTGTGTTGTTTTTAAAATGAAAACAATGGGATATTATTTAAAAAGTTAAGAAAGTTTTAGGATGCCATCACTTTCTTACATAAAAACTGTATAAATTTGTTAAAATGCAAAAACATGCATTTCTTTTTGTGGTCAAAACTTGTGTAATTCCAATAACAAGTCACAACCAACACAACCTACTCTTTCAGTATCAGTTGTCATTTAAAACATGTGCGTGAATGTTCAATAAGAGTCTGCTAGTGACTATGTACAGCTGTACTTAAGCACAGTGGTGGTTTGATCCAAAGGCTAATGTCAATGCTAACATTCTTATTTTTAGCAGGTAAAGCGTTTATCATGGTAAACATCTTGGGGTGTTAGCATGCTAACATTTTCAAATGAGCACTTAACACACTAAACAAAAAAAAAGTGAGGTTATCGATAAATTTCAACAAAACCCCAAAATGTCAAGTGTGGCGATTGAGAATCAGGGGATCACCAAAGTCATTACGATTCGTCATCTTGTGACCACAAATTTTCCTGGTAATCCATCTTTAATACTTCACGTTGGACCAATGTGGTGGACCGGAGTCACGCCATTACTGTGGCTATAACTGGTCCAAATGTTAAAGTTACAGGAATATTAGGCATTTAGGAAAAAAAAGATCATATTTTATTGGTCACCATTTTTTTTTGCATTAGCATTCTTGAGTATCCACAGACACTGTACTGGCCTTTGTGGGATATGTAGTATGTGATGGCTGAATGTCTTTTAAATAGGGACTGCCTCTAAAAACAGTGCTTGGGGATAGCCAAGGCATTAATAACAATTATTGGTGTTCTTTGGTTTCCTCAGACACCTTAAGTGTGGCGTATTGACTGCTATGCTGCAAAGAATGTTGCCTATTGATTTGGCCAAGACACACACCAATCGTGTCCTCTTCCTGTAATGCCAGAATTAATCCTTACATGCTACCAGAATAATTTACCTACCGAGACCCAGACACCGTTGACACCGCCTCACCACTTCTGCGTTGAGCTCACCATACGTGCTCGCAGATGCCTTCTGAAAAGTCAGACGAAACCAGGGCACAACCCAATGCATGGAATGACAGGATGCTGCAACAAACAGGAAAAAAGACAATAGCTGCTGCAACTTGTGAGACTTGTGTACTACCATGCCTGCAAGAGCAGAACAATCCTTTTGTTATCATTTGTATAAATCAGTAATTAAATTGAGTTGAGAGAGAAACCATTTTCATGAACTTGTTTTTCGTTTGTATAAAGTCAAATGGACTTTTACCAAACAAAACTGATACTATTTACTTCTGTTAGTAAATGTAAGAAATTTAAGAGTGTTGCAGCATGCAGTAATATTTTTACTTGTCCATTGTCTTATCCCTAACCAACACTTTGTGTATACTGTACTACAATGCTTGGTCTACCTCCCCGTGGACTGTATAGTTACTAACAGCTCATCCACTATTGCTTAGGGGTCTTATTTTGTTCTAGAAGAAAGACTTTATACTGTCAAACTCAGACATCCCATGTGATTGAAGGCCGATGGGCATGGAACTCTCAGAGCTGCCCTCAAAGCAGCAACAATGCCTGCTTTCACACAGCCAACTTGTGGTGGGTGGAGTGGAAGAACAAAGGCAGAGTTGTTAGGGTTTAGATGCCTTTATTATTCTTTTATTTGGCTGCAATTTCTTGTCTATCTGCCCATATTCATTAAGATTTTGGCTACATTGGCTTGTGGGGTCTGTGGTTCCAGGAGTAGTTAGGGTATGTGACTCAAAACACATCAAGCGCTACACTTTTCTTTTGTACAAATCAACGTACAGAAACGTAATCATAAAAAAAAAAAAATCCTTTTTAGTTCATTATGTGTGTCAACTTACATGTACTAAAAGCTAACCAAACCTGATGTGATTTAGGACATTTGAACAGAAAACAACAAATATCAGGGTACAAAATGGAATTCACTTATTCCCATGTAGTTCCCACCTATAAAGAAAAGTCTGGTCTATATTACATATCAAACCTTTTTCATTGAAATTTGTTTTTATTATTTTAATAATTCAGTGAACACATTTTAAAAGTATAATTATAGTCACATATGGCAATTTAAAGGTACTTCAAAACACATCGGTTAAGTCATCAAATTCTCAACAAAACTCAAGAAACAAAATAACAAAACTGTATACTTCAGTGACATTCATAGCTTTTTGTGACACCAAAAGTATTCCCCCCTACTAAAACACTTAAAAGGTGGGGTGTGCAATTCAATGTAATGCAAGTAATGTTACCAATAACTAGAGAGGATGAGACGATTCTCACAGCTCTTCTGCTACTACATCACAACAGCATGTCTTAACTAGAAAGTAAGCTGAATGTCCGTGAGCATGTAAGTAAACGTCACCTGACACACAAATCCAGGTCTGTGTACAAAACAGATTTTTTTTTTCAGCGCTCACACAGGAGGGACAGGTAGCAGACTGTGAGGAGATATTTGCTGAATTTCACAAAATAAACCGTATTGGATTAGAATTGCATACCCCACCTTTATTCATGACTTTAAAATAATTCATTCAAACATAAGCAGATCTCCCCAGCCAATCAAGTGATGTCCCAAATCTGTTTAGGTGCTCTCTCCTGGGCCAGCAGAAACTCTCCATCACCGCACACGTGGCTGCTGGGAACACGCGAGCTTGGGGAGGCTGGCAGCCGAGACTCTTCTCCTCCTCTTTGGGCTCTCTGCTTGACTAATCAGAACTCCTCTCGCAGTCAGAGCACAGCTAAAACACAAGAGACTTCATTCAGACAACACATGCAACATATGGATGATCAAAGAGCATTAAGGCTGCTTAAAACACGGCATGTTACAATGCACTTTATTGTTTTTTTTAAAAGTTTTTTTACAAAAACACTGGAGGTAATATTTTTTTTTTAAGTTTGACAAAATAACGCTGATGATGTCATTAGGTGTCTGATAAAAGACTATGCAGGACACAGTGTTTGAAGCTTGACCTATACTAAGGATGAATGGTCAGGATATCTGCTGTTTCAATTTTGACTTTTATGGTTGTTTTTTTAAATCTATCTCTTGGGAGGCCTCCAACTTTATTAAAGTACGATACTAAATTTCTGGAGTCCTCTTTAATCAAAAGAAGCCAAAGATCTCAAATGTTGTCAACTAGCAATGTTACAAGAAGTTTTCTAAATAAAATTGGCAAAAATTGAATAAGGAAAGAATAACTAAATACACTTCTGTGTCAACTTGCTGTACTACTGACCTGTTTCGGTTGGAACCAAAAAAGTAGAATTTCAATACCTCGCCTTAATCATGCCTCATACGTATTAGGGTAGTAAGCTCTGCCAATCACATCTTTTTGTGCCGTCACCATCACAAGTCTGAGTCTGAATTGACCTGCCATTGCACTGAGCAGGTTTCAAGCAGCTGCTGTGTCACTAAGGCATGGTCCATTTACAGTAGCTGGAGGGATATAATATTTACTGTCAGCTGGCAAAAATAACAAGAGCTAAAATCCTACTGTAACAATGCTGCCCAAATCCCCAATCAGCAATTGCTTGTTATGCTCTTTTCTGTGTCAAAACACTCCCTTATTACATGATTGGACAAAAAGGTTGATGGCTTTGTTATTTGTAAAACAGGCCTCTAACCACATGTAAATTGTAACAGAATGCAAATTTGCTCTGCTTATTCTGGCCGGGCTTCCACAGTGTCGCAATCCCTCTTAAGCTTCTTGTTGACCGCGTCTGCCAGTGTTGTGTACACAATTGGCTCCTCAGCTATTCCAACTGCATCGTTAATGTCTGCCCTTTTGTGCTGCTCAATTCCACCGGAATAAACAGAATCACACGTGCAAAATTCTTTTCTAACACAGATAATTAGCCGAAGAAACAATCCGGAGTATGAATACAGTAGTAATGTGCCTTGGTAACATTATAACTTTTAAGCATGGGAAAAGGAGGGATTTGAATGCCATGGGAAATGAGCTTATCAAATAAAGCTTGAAAATGTGCAGTGAATGAAATGAGTCAATCATTTTAATGTGAGATGGGAGCCCTGAGGAGAATAAATAAGGAATCGTCACATCATGCAGGGAGAACAAATGAGCATGGTACACAATTAGGCAGGGTCACATTCTGCCAGAGCTGTGAGCGTGGGATGGGCTAATGAGCTGTGTGAGCGAGTGTGTGTGTGTGTCTGTCTGTCTGTTTGTGAATGTGTATAGAGAAAGAGGAAATGCGAGATGAAAAAGCTGATCCCTAGCCCTCAAAATTCTGATGTACAGACTAAGACAGCCCGACAGCCAGACACACAAGCGGCAAGTCAGGCAAGAGACAAAGATGAAAATAAAAGGGGCTGGTGGAGGAGAGGTGGGCTATCAGTCGACTTGGCATCTGGGGCAAGTAGACATGCAGGCAGACTGAGCAATGGGCAGGTAGAGCAGCCAAACAGACAAAAAGAAGAGAAGTGCCTCAGAAGGACCAACGGCACAGAGCTTTCAAAGGCGACTCATAGTTATTAACTATTCAATCACATAAAGGAGAGCTGAAGGCGTGAAAGGTTGCGGACCGAAGCACTTTTGCTTCAGTGCATTAAGAGCCTGGTCCAGCACTCTGGCTGCGTGAAAGAGAAATAGATTGCCTCCCAGGAAGATGACTGCTCAAAGGAGTTGGCTTTTTCCCCTTAATAACAGCAATCTGCTGTGAAAATCTAATCCCAAGTACCATTTACACTGAATCTGGATAACTTCTGCTCAGAAAAGCGTACAATATGAATATTTCATTCCATGATATACAAATAAACAGGCGCCCCTCATCAATCAGGGGACGTTCTGAAAATAAGTGAACTGGAAGAGCAAATTGCTAATGAATACCGTGCTGCTACAAATTGCGGGTCTGTTGCACAACTGGTCAAAATGAAAATACAATTCGTCACGAGAGACATGTGTATGTGACCCATATGGTCATAAACTAAGAAAATCTTCAGTGAAACACTCACAATGTTGATAACCTGAATGACATATACACAACAACAAACCAAGCATGAACACTGTCCCTCAACTGAAGTAATAGCTCCATCTTTGGCATTAAAGTCAGATAGGGACGCACCCCTTAAGCCCCCTGCTCTCCTTCTCACTGGCCTAATTCCCCCTCCTCAGTGGTGGATGAGAGGGATCAGAAATCCATCCATATGCATGGCCAACTATGTGTGGAGGGGATGTCAGGTCTCAGCCTGGCCATCTATCTGAAAGTACTGGTAATGACACTTAATGAAAGCTAGGGAGCCGAGCTCCGAGAAAGCCGGTGCTTGTACTCCCCCAGCCCCCATCCAGCATTCAGACCAGGCCGTCAGACACCATAAATAAACAAACAGTGCTGCGTGAGAATAGATGTGCGATTTCCCTAGCTTCTGTCATGCCATTCCATCCAGTCCATCTATTTATTATTATTCCCTGGATTGCTGGTTTGCTTTCAGCCCACCTCTGCACTTCTGGCTCCCCTGCAAGCTTTTTGAATGTCCCAAAACATTAGCTGGACTTTGTTCCAGTCACCCTGTGGCCCTTAATGGCCTGGGTCTGCATCAACTCTCCACTGGTCTCCACAAATATACACACAAAGAGATAGACCACTGTAAATCCAGCAAACATTCAGACATGTCACAATCTCCTCTTCTTATCAATTACACTGCCTAATCCACTTTCTCTATTGAATTAACAGAAATATTATATATATATTAAATAATATTAAAATAACTCGACCAAACCCATTCTTTAGCAGTCGTCTTTTTAATTGAGTCTAGTTTGCCATACAAAGGAGCACTTGTGCCTGCAGTGATGCAGGTGTTATGGCTGAAGCTGAGGAGAGAAGAGAAGGGTGAGGAGGGCACTGTGGTTGCAGTGATGCCTGTGTTGAGAAGGGTGGTGAGGCTCAAAGTAAACAGAAGGAATGAGGGGATCTAGAGGCTCCTCTTAGCACAAGCCCCTAATCAGTACAGTCAACACATGGAAGATTGGGTTCACATCTTTTTCACCTAGCTCTCGCTCTGCCTTTGTCCTTCCACCACCAGAAGGTATCCCTTCAGTCAGCCCCAATTTCCCTCCTTTCAATCTGAGAGGATGTCAGATAGGAATGTGTTGCAGGCAAATGCCAGGTAACACATATCTGGCTTACTTTGAGGCCAGGTGGTGTTGGCTGAGAAAAATTAGATGGCTTCAACTGTGGGACACCATTCCACCAACCAATAACAATTTCCAAGCAACACATAAAATTCATATTTTATTTACAAAACATTTCGAGATTTCCATGGTGATGCATGGTGACATGTTTACTTCAAAGTGTCCTGTGTGGTCTCTGTGAACACTAACAGCAACTAACACTTTACCAGAAGAGGAGAACATCCGTGTCAGTTGGGTGAAAAGTTTGCCAGCTCCACAGACTCAAACTGTTCTGGGGAGGCGAGACCTCATCCTCTGCTGCCCTGTGTCCTTTGATCACTGACTCCCTTTGCCACCCTCAACATTTCCCAGCTAACTGCACAAATGTGTCTTCAGTGTTAACAAGCTTTAGCCATCAGTCGAGTCTGGGCCACACAGGTGGGGGATGGCACTAGCTGGCCAGAGTTGAGCAGAGGAGGTCATCCTGGGTGCAGAAGGAGAGTAGTGCAAAACATGGTTGTATGTAAAGGAGAGCTTCTACTTTGTGAGATGGTAAGAAAAATGTCCTGGGGCTACATTAGCAGCAGGACCCAGAGGCATAACCCGGTGGGTTGGGGGTCTGATGTGCAGGCCGTTCAGGGCTCTCAGGCTGCTGATTTCACAGCTAGAAAACACAGGCCATTAGCCACAAAAACACACTGAGGCCTATGCTAATCCCAGAACAAGCAAAATCAACATGACAGCCAATAAAATCCTGGGAGTTATGCAGCAGCTTTGCTTTTCAGTGATACTGTCTGTGATGTTCTGGTGAGTGTTTGTATTGACCCGTGTTTCAGATGAGCCACTCCAGAAACACTCACGCTCTGTCTGAAAGCTCACTGCTTTGACACAGACACTGTCTCTGGAGTCGGCCGGAGCAAAAGCAGAGGACATGTAGTCACAGAGAGGGGCGCGTGTAGATTTGCAGCCTCTTTCGGAAGAGAACTGGTGTCTTCGCCAGGACTATGATAGTTTAACAGAGTAGAATGATCAGAGACAAAGTCAAGAAATCATTTACTGTCTCAGGTCAGAGTCTGCAAACTAGTAAAATTGTCAAAGGATTGCAGAGGAGAGGAACCTACTAATAACGCTGATTTGACTGTGTCTTTGGCAGGAATTAGTTATGCACATTTTCTATTGTCATTCTTAAATCTCACACAGTGCTGAGCTTCACACTTACACTTCACACTTGAGGGCAGTTCCTGGGTCAGGACCTATATGCCAAATATAAAGTTAGTTATACCCTATATTAACATGACTGAAATGTTTTGGGTATTTAATTCACACAAAAAACACATGGGAGAGACCCATTATAATGAATGAATAGTGGTGGATACGTGATGCTGTTTTCTAGGTAAATGATTTCTGGAAAACTTCACATAAAGCATATATCTAAACAAAAATATATTATTTTTCAATACAGAAAAAGTGTATTTTTAACATAAAAAACTAAACATTAAAATACTATTTTCATATAACCACTTACATCATGCACCTGGCAATTTAAGGCTTCTTTAAGGTTTTTGTTTATGTGATAACCAAACATACATACAATGAAAAATGAATGTAAAAATTACAGAACAATACTTGTAGATTTATTCCAGTGACGTCCCTCTATACCTGAATCTTCTCCTCTTCAATCCTCTTCTTGTCAACCTCAGCTTTATGTCTCCTGACCTCAATTTGCAGGTGGATTCATGTGTGCCTGTACACACACACACTGAATTTCACACACTGTTGCATTTGAGAGTAAAGCCCATAAATATAACTCTCATGTCCACTCTTTCTTAGCAGAGATGGATGATCCTCCTACTTTGCTCTTATATTTTCAGTGCCAGTTATTCATTTGCTTGCCTGCAGCTATGTAGGGATATGATAAAATGTACATTAGCTATTGTTGGGATAGAAACCAATTATTGTGCAAGTGCAGAGAGACCTCAGCAGTAGTGTGGTGTGTATTAAGGCATTACTTACTGTATGTTCCAGGAACGACTGGTTGACAATTGAGAGCATCTTGTGGACATAAGCTGCCTGACTGAACAAAAAACCTCCACCTTGTACTGGGACAGAGCATGAGGAAGAGAGAGAGATGGGGAGTAAAGGACAAAAGCAGTGAGAGGGAAGTAAAATATTTAAAAAATCCCATATCTACAGCAAACTGTTTGTGTCAATACCTCAGCTGTAGCTTTACTGAATTTACAGACAAGCTTAGAGTAAAAAGCCTAAAAGGAAGAGACACAGGGACACTAAGAAGCAAGGAAAAACTATTATGGTAAATGATGGTGTTAGACTGATAAGGCATGTGTTTTTATTTAACCTGGACTCTCTTAAAGTCATAGCTCGTCATAGGTCTTAAATGCTTCCAAGCCAAGATATTGCCAAAGCCATTAACACTACCTACTAGCTCCTCCCTTTGTCAGGTGAAGAAGCAATTTTTAATAATGATTATGCATTTGCTTGACTTAGCATTTCACTCAATATCATAGTTTGCTATAGCTAGTCAGGGTAAGGATCTCTCTCTCTCTCTCTCTCTCTCTCTCTGAGGCTGCAACCTAATGAAATCCCCCTTCTGTGTTCTGTGAGACATTGGATGGCTTTCAAAAATATAATTTTCTTGTACACTTATTTCATCAACTTGCTTTGAAAAAAGGAATTTAGGACATGATAAAAATCGGTCAGCTTGTCAATGGCCACCTTGCTGTGTCACTCGTTTCCCCAGCTTCAGCCTCACAGCCATTTCCTGCTAGTGAGGGAGACAAAGGCTATGAGCACACCACCGCCATCACAGTGACCTTTCCACAAGCCCAGGGAGCACGCAATGCAGAGGAGAGGCAATAAAAGTAATGAAAGAAGCAAAGGCAATTAAAGTGGTGTGTGTGAGGGGAGCGTGGCGGAGATGAGCCTAACTGGAGGCGGCCCTGGAATGCACTACAGCTCCATATCCCCCATAATCCCTATGTGATCGCAGAGCAACCCTGGTGTGCTCCCAGTCTGATCATCCTCTCACAGCATTCACCAGTTAATCCGTGCAAAAGGACAGCCATGTACACACACACACACACACACGCGCGCACGCGTGTATTAAAGCCATTCATAGATAGATACACACATCTCTGCACACCCTGCTGGAGTAATTATTATAGGCTGCATACAATATTTACCGCATGACAAAGTGAGGAAACTACTAAAGTAAATTACCAAACAAAAACACATTCAGGCATACACACACGCTCACACATGTTCAGTTCTAGAAAATTAGTTGCTCTCCTCCCGCCCTCTGCAGAGCAGTGTTTCCTTGCAGCCAGTGAGAATCATTAATGCCCTTCCTCTGATGCAGCCACACAACCAACAGCAATTATTTCTAAAAGCAAAAAGTGAAAACAGACAGCGAACGCGCAAATATACACGGCACATAATCATTATTTTTTTGTTAGGCCGGCTGTGTGGGGGTTGAGGAGGTGGCAGCAGTTTGGACTTCATTTTCTCTTGCGGAGTTTACTGACCGCAAAATGACAAGGATGCTTTTCCTAAACCAATTAAGAGGCTGCGGTGCTGCTGTTACCATGTGACATTGACAGCACTTACGGAGGCTGACACCGGGCCTCAGAGATGAGCCAGAGATGCGCTCTTGGCTCATGAGTCAGCACGCATGCGCGCACACACGCACAGGAAAATACACGTCACATATATCAATAAAAGGAATGGCACTGTAGATCACATAGCAAGTAACAATGTATACAGCAGGAGCTCTAGACCAAAACAAATATATAACTAACAATATACTAATACTTGAGGTCCGCAGTATTGAGGTCTGTGAGTGGCTACAATAAAATAAAACTATCCAGCTTGAAATAGAAAGCATTAAATACTACTGCACACCCAGGCCATGAGTCTGGACCTCATTATCTAATCAGCTTTAGAAATACACAGAAAGGGCAAAGCTACAAGTTTCCCCTTTTTTTGACAACAGAATCTGATCTTGCCTGTAGTGTACAATTAGTGAAGAGTGTGACCTCTAGAGGTTATGACTCTTCTTGAGAAAAGGCTGCATGGTCAACGCTAATGACCAGAATGCTCTGTGAAAGAGCTAGCACTGTGCCCCTTCTCTGCTCTGGCTATCTTTAACTAATACCCACTGTTGCGAAAGGAGATGAGACTCATTTTCCTTCCTATTACAGAGCACTCACATCATAGTGGTGCTCGGGGCTTGCAGGGCACTGGCTGGTCAAAGTGCCGCTTAAAGAGGGGAGAGCTGGTGGGTAACTAGGCCTCATCAGTATCAACTGTGGTCCTTGCTGCTCAGATGCTGGGAGCAGTTTTGGGCGACAGGAAGTGCATATTCTGAATCTGCAGCTCACCACATGAGTGTCAGCAAGTGGCCTGTAGTCTGATCCTCTCCTTTAGTGCTTAGTCCTCTCCTGCTGTCCTTCCCTTTGTAAGCTGGAAACAACTATGCTGCAGATGGGACATAACACAGAGAAGACTTGCCACCTTACAATTACTCTCTGCTGCAGCACACATATAGCAAAACAAGATTATATTTTTCAATCAACAAAATGCAATGTGAGTGAACAGAAGAACAATCTAAATTAAATCAATATTTGGTGTGACTACCTTCTGCCTTAGCATAAATTCTTTTAGGTAAACTTGCACATATTTTTTGAAGGAACTCGGCTGGTAGATATCTTGGAGAACTACCCAGAGTTCTTCTGTGGAGTTAGGCAGCCTCAGTTGCTTCTCTCTCTTCATGTAATTCCAGACAGACTCGATGATGTTGAGATCAGGACTCTGTGGGGGCCAAACCATCACTTTTAGTACACCTTGTTCTTCTTTACGCTGAAGATAGTTCTTAATGATTTTCGCTGTATGCTTGGGGTCGTTGTCATGTTGCAGAATAAATTTGGGGCCAATCAGATGCCTCCCTGATGGTACTGCATGGTGTATATGTATCTGCCTGTACTTCACAGCACTGAGGACACCATAAATTCTGAGCACCTGCTTACATTTTTCTGCACCCCAGTTCCTGTGTTTCTATATAGTTGAGTCGATGATTGTTGGTTCAACCTACATGTTGAATTGGTGATCAACAGCACCTGTTTGGTATAATTGTACACCTGACAATATGCCTACAAAATCCCTGACTTTTGTTAAGGCTGTGTTGAGGAAGGCCAAGCCATGTCCCATATGTAGATGGGTGGCAAAGAAAAAACAACATAAAGCATCTTACTGAAGTGTTAAGTCATCACAAGCTGCCAAAACAGCTTCAGTGCACCTTGGCATAGATTGTACTGTTTCTGGAAAAACAGTTGGTGCCGCTCTAACACGCTGCTCAAAGTCCCCCACAGGTGCTCAGTTGGGTTGAAATATTGTCACTGCAGAAGCCATACCACATGGTTTTCAAAATTCAAAATTCAGTGCCCTTTGTCCCCTGTATGGCGACTTCTTCTACATTTGGTATGTTCCTCCACTAAGTTACTCAGGATTTTCCTTTAATTTATCACCCATCTGAAGCTCATGAAGACAATTCCTACATGAAGGAGCTGAAACTCCAACAATACTAGTAGTAGTTGCACTCTAACTGCCTCTTTGCTCTCTCAGGTGAAAGCCAGCTCTTTGAGTTTATCCTCCACCACCTACAGAGAGAGATAAAGGGGCGGCTGTCAGTTACGCCCCTCTGTCCTCATCTTTCCTAATCAGCTCCCCCATCTCATGGAGCTGCATGGGTATCAGAGTTTCACGTAGGACTAAGTTTGACAGTCACGTTCCATCTTAATTCTGTGCCGGAGATTTAAAGCACATAGGTGGGCAGATGAAAGATACCCCTTATATGCATGAAAGAGATCAAATTGGGATTAAGGAGATTAATTTCAGATGGTAATTGAGACAGAAACTTTTTCATCAGATTTATCTAACTTTCTAAAAGATGTCAAATGTGGTGTGATTTAATTTGTTACCAGATGAATGGTTGGTAAATTGCTGTGCTTCAGGCTTGTGTCCCTTTGGTTGGTGTAAAATCATATATCGTCAAATTTCATGACTTGTGAAGATCTGACTCATTTCTCTTGGCTTCCTCTGGGGTTAAAAATAATTACTAGTTTTGAAACACAAATTCAGACTGAAACTAATTCAATTTCTGAGCATGGCTGGAGGGTGACTGAGTGGAGTATAAACGTTGTGGCTAAGCTTCAATCAGAAGGCAAGCATGGGGGAACAATCCCCCTTCAGAGATGACAAAGTGACCTTGGAAATGACACAGTTCAGACACTCATATGGGAACATGAATTCCATATCATGATGCTCACCTTACTAGTGCTGCTGGACGTCATAAATATGAACAAACACCAACTGGAATACTTCCTTATAATAAAAGTGTGTTAATGGCTCCTTTAGTAATGCATAACGTGTATTGGTGTGTGCACGGCTGTCTTACATGATCACTTGATTAGACGTTGTAATGATGATGTATTTCTGTTTTGATTTGGGATTTTTTAAAATTCTCGCTCAGTATTTGTTGGGGGTATTTGTGTAGGTGGCTTCAAATGACATACCTTATTGACTGATAGTTTCTACTAGTTATACTGTGCAATTTGTAAAAATCTAAATACATTTTTTTAATCAAATATTTTTGTCTTTTTCATTCTTGGTATAAACATTTTATTTAAAAAGTATCCCTCATAACGCAGACATTTAACAGAGTGTGGGGGGGTTGGCCAATTCCTTTAGTTTGCTTATGAAGTTGTCACACAGGCTTAATCATTTGCAGTGAATGTCTTACCTTTACATGCAGAATCTGTAATACATGCGGGTCAAATGAATAAACAAAAGAACATTATTAACATTATGTTCTTTACGTTGTTGTTATTTCTCATTATGTTGTTGAGAAGCAACCAAAGAAATCAGGGTAGAGTGAGTTGAATCTAATAGTGCTATGATTAAGTGAATTGAAGGTGAAAAGATTTAGATCCTGATAAGATTCAAGCAGATAAAACATGCACAACTGAACCAACCGTGTTTACAGAGCAGTACACTGAGACACTTCAATATATTGATGTTTTATAATAGGCTCTAAATGACTCAGGTTAGAGACTGCTGTGCAGCAAACCTTCTCACTGCTTCTGCGATTCATTTCAGCACGAATCTAAAACATCAGCTGGGTAAGAAAAACTAAACTAACTCAACTAGATGAATACAAAATAAATGCATGTCCATCTGTGCCCCCCAAAGTGAAGGATGGCGGATGAAAAATTTGTCATTTTATCCAAAGCGACTTACAATTGCCATGTATGTTAGAGGACTAACTGTTCTATTGGTCACATTAGCGGCAGAAGAAGAAAAAGGCTTTGCTTGCCGTGACATGTGTTCATCAAGTAAGTTAGTCAGCAACAAATTTAATTTGAAAAACCCAAGTTTCTTTATTATAAATCAGACAACGTTAGAGTTGGCAACTTATTTTTCACTTCGATGTGATGGCAGTGCCTGGTTGTTCGGTTAGTAGGCTGTTTGCTTTCCACATGCTGTACTACGTCGATACTGTGTTTTCATTTCTGGCGAGAATTAGCTGGTAGATTTCATGCCATTTACCTAAATATAATGCAGCTGTTGGGTGTAATATGACAATCACATAGATGGTGTATCCTGATAAAAGCTAATTCTTTGTTGACTGGTCAAGTTAAGTTCCCCCTCCAGCTGTAGAACTTGTTAAAGGACTGTGGACTTTCTGCAGGCAGCAGGTCAAGTTCTCCTCAACGTCTTTCCTCAGAAACTCCTCTTCTGAGTTCTGAATCCATTGTCACAAACTATAAAACAATTCATTCTACCATCATTTAAATGACAACCTCAAAAGTGAAAAATGTAGGAAAAACAATGTCTAAAAATCCACCAAAATCGAACAGTAAACTATCAACATTTAACTTATTATCTATCCTATTCCAACACATCTCCTATGTCACTGTTCTTATATTCAGCCCATTCATAGGAAATTAAAGAGCATGGAATTAAATCAACAGACTGCAAATGTGTGTATGTGCGACAGATTCAATCTGACCAGGAAGCTTTAACATTTAATGAGAGGATGTTTTGTAATTCTGCCTGCACAGTGTTGTACTGTACGACAGGTTGTTTTATGATGGTGATGTGTCACTAGAGCATAAGTGATAGAATCAGAGAAGCTAGTTTGTGTGTGTGTGTGTGTATGTGTGTGAGAGTGTGTGTGAGAGCGCTGACCAGAGCCTATTTACTGCCAGGTGAAGCAACTAATTAAATATCAGAGGGCAGGCAAGCTCAGTCTCCTCTCTCACTCTCCAACATTAAAAGCCACGGGTCAGAGCCTTTACAAACTCAGTGAGGCAAGTTGTTTGGAAAGGCAGAGGGGAGGGAGAAAGATGGGGGTGGAGGGTGGCACACTCCTAGTGAGCCCTTTGGAAAGCTCTTTTTCTGATCCCAGTTTTACCACTGGACCTCCTAAGAAGGAGTAAAGTTGGTTTACAACACGGAGGAGGATGTTTGGGTAAGTTTAAAGAGTGCTTTCATCACAACACGCTGTGTCACTGACTGTGTAAGCGTGTGTCAGGAGCTGGTGGTGGTGAGGGATACTGTGGAAAAAGCCCAGAGCCTTTCCAATGCTCACCTCCCTCTTCCATTGACGAGTGAGGTGCAGTAACAGCTAATCGATGGCTAGTGAATTCCCTGTGCACCCCCCTCGCCAAGCTGATCAATATTCCTGGCAATTAGAATCCCCTATCTGCATGGCTGTAGGGACCTTGGGGTGGCTCGCCAGCCCACAAACACCCAATTTAGTTCTCAGCCTATCACTTAATTACTAAATCCTCCCTAATGCCTATTGGCAGGTGGCAGGCATACTCACAGCAGCCCCAGTGGCTGAGTGAACATGAGACCTTTGGTAAGGTGCTGGTTAAGATGCTCCCATCCCACTTCAGCTGGCCAGTTAAACATCTGATTTCACACGAGGGCCCCAACCTGAAATGATCTGCCTATCGAGCGCCTGGCCCACACACAACCCAGATGGATGGTGTGGAATGGGAGGAATGGGAAGTGGGAGGGTGAGGGGATAAAGGATACAGAGTCACAGTGCTAAAACATCTGTCAGCCACTAGTACAGCAGGCACACCACTGTTTTTAAAGTGTTCACAGTCAGATGATTTCCTGGTGTTTTTCATACTGACTAGGGATAACATGAGATAGAAATTAAATACAGTCTCATGGTAATTCAGATCGTAACAGCTCTGAGAGATGCAAATATTTCAGGTTTCAGCTCTAAACACTATAGGGAATCCAGTATACCGTATAATGCTCTTGAGCTGCTCAGTCTTCACCACCTCTGCTGAGTCTACTGTGTCCAGCTGCTGACAACAAAGTCCTCACCTCCAGTCAAGCCTGCACCTAGGCTGATATATGCACAAAAAACAGACATCTAAAATTAAAAACATTTACAAAAAAAATGTATATGCACACTATACCACATCCCAAAGACACATTTGTTCCTCCACAAAGCCTTCCTGGGTGACACTTTAAAAGAGTGTTAGAAGTGTAAAGTTTGCCAGGTACTTTTGAAATAATACTAAGTATGGTATTTTATTTGACCTGTCCTTTTTATAAGATTTCACTTACTTTTTGCAGATGTTTTTTCCATGAAATTGATGAAGATTTGATTTAAGTTAGTGTGAGTGGGTTTTTGCAGGTGAATATGTTGAGTAGATTAGTGGTGTGTATCACAAAAAAGGCCTTGGGCTGTGATTTAATTTTCCTTGCAGGTGAGTGGCTGAGGCAGCTGCCACATCACACACTCAGGTGACTGTCTCACGCAATATATTAAGACAGCACTAGAGGCTAGCTGGCCTGCCACGAAAGCCTGTCACTGTCACTCCCTCTCTCCTTTTCCTGACTTATACCATTT